GCGCATGGTGAAGCTGAAGGCCCGGAGGCCGGTGGAGTGGCGCGCCAGCTTGAGGATGCGGAAGATCCTCATGAGCTTGATGAGCTTGAGGACCTTGCCCAGCTTGCTCACATTCTCCACCTTGTGCAACTCCTCGTGGTAAAGCGTGTCTGCTTCGTCCAGATTCTCAAAGAGGAGCTGGACGTAGAAGGGCAGGATGGCCACCAGATCTATGGCATTAAACGCTGCCCGCAGAAAGATCTTGAAGCTGGAGGAGGATATGAGCCGCATGAGGTATTCAGAGGTGAAGAAGATGGCACAGATCATCTCCATCTGCTCCATCCACATCTTCCCTGTTTTGTTTTTCATCTCCTCCACTGTGCTCAGTGTCATGCCCACAATGGAGATAAGCACAAAGAAGCTTGACATGACAGCAATGATCTTGGCTGGGACAGAAGAGTACGGGTTCTCAATGAGGTTCCAGATCATCTTCCGAAACCCACCCAGAAATTTGCCATCAAACTGATTCCCCGAGTCCAGGGGCTCCAGTTCTGCCTCCAGCTCCTTCTCTATTTTCAGGTACTCATTGAGTTCATCTTGCTTTTCCTCGAACAGGATCCGGCAGCAGCGTTGGGAGTATTTCAGATGGATCCCCCAGTACTCGATTTCCTCCACAAAGTTACTGGGGCACATCTCATCCATCACCCACAGGACCCCACTGCGGTAGAAGTGGAAGATGTAGTGGAAGACTGAAGGATCTCTGTCAAAGAAGTACTCGTTCTTCTGCACCAAGTAGTCATCGCAGAGCTGCATCTTCTTCGCGGGGTCCGTATAAAGGGCCAGCTTCCCAAGCCTCGTGATGGGATACTGGGCCAGTACCTTGCAAGCTATCTGGAACGACTTGCCACCCACATTAATGTTGAGCAGGTACTTGTTCCTTTGGATGGGAGTCTCGCTCTCCTCGTTTCCCTCTGCCACGTTCTGCATGGAGCTCCATTGTTTTACCAGGCTGTCCTGAGCGAAGGGGATGTGCAATGCCTCCTCCTCCAGGGTCCGGCGGCGGCCCCGGTGATCCCCTATCTTCAGGCTGGCCGAGAGACTCGCACGCCTGGTCCCCAGCTGCCTCATGGTGCCTGGCCCTCGGAAGCCGTGACTCCTGTTAGGGGCCGGGGGACAGCAGCTCTGGCTTCATGGGAACGCTCCCGCTGGGCACACGCTGGCTGGGATGAGGGCTGCGAGCTCGGAGGAGCCGTGGAGCGGCTGCCCGGGGGGCACTGCCGTGTCCTGGTGCCACGTGGCACCTGCCAGGGTCCCAAAGCCGATTGCTGATCAGATTGTGGTTCGCGTCGCGGGAGTCGGAGGCGGCCAAGCGCCCGCTCCTTAAGACACTAATGAGATTGAGGCACTAGTCCTTTATGTAAGGAACTATTTCCAGACCTGCACTTCTCTTTCCCCTTATTCTGTTCTTATTAGCTGTTTGCATTTGCCACACGCTACCTGTTTCCTAGAAGGACATCTGTGATGGCAAGTTGGAAAGAGCACGATCTTGCCTCAGTTTACCCCTGCCAGCCCTGCCTTGGTGGGACAGGAAGGTGCAGACACGCAGGATTTGTAGAGGCTTTGTACCCCCACACCAGATGCTGCTGTTGGCACTGGCCCTTCGTTAAGCACTAATGCAGTTGCCCCGGCTCTGTCAGCTGTCACAGCCAGAGGAGGGAGATGGTCGTGACCTCCCAGCTCATCCCTCAAGCCCCACAGTGCAGATTTACAGGGGATGAGGTGAAGGAATCACTTCAGTCTCCACGCAGTGCCCGAGCAGATGCCCTGGGGGACAGGTTGCTCCTGTGGCCCTGCCCTGTGCCATCACATCAGCCTTCAGCCCCACCAGTCCCACAAGCAGGGGCAGAACAGGGAACAGGACACTGAAAATGCAAGTAGGCAGTAAAAGTTCCCCTGAACTATTGGAACTGAAAAGGAGGAAATAATCCTTTGGATTTCCAAGTAAAAGGGGAACCAAAATTAAATAGGCTTATCTTTGAGGCCTTACCTTGGAACATGACCTTGCTTCAACATGTAAAACTGATCACACTGATCTCTATGAACTGGTCTAATTAAATACAGAGACCTGGAGCACAAAGCTGCTCCTGGCCCAAAACCAGCTCGGGCTCCACTACAATTGAAGTTTCTGAGCCCTGGGATTAGGACAACAAAAATACTTCTGGCACCAGACAGAGGAAGGGAAATTGCTGTCACAAAACATAGATCTTGTTTTGGCACAAGATACAGAAAATATGTTTCTTTCAACCCTGAAGCACTTGGCTCAGGGAGCAGTAAACTAAACCTGCAAGGTCTTGTGAGTTTGCCTCCGGGCCTCGCTCCTCATTGAACAGTGAGGGCTCTGCCCCACACCACAGACCAGCCAGGCTCAGCCTGGGCTCAGCTCGGCAGCTGGAGCTCAGAGGATGATCTGGGACCAGCTGGTGACAGCTGACTTTGGCCACCTGGCCCCGACAGCACCAGCACTTCTACAGCCCCCAGCTCAGCCCTGTCCTGCTGGGACTCCTGGAGCCCCTCCCACTCTACAGGACTCCCCACTCCGTGCACTGCTCTGACAAAGAAGGGACAAGTTCAGGCAGTTTTTTCACCTTGTTCTAGGCTGAACTCCCCACTTGTCCCCTGTTTGGCAACAGCACTCCTAGTGCCAGTGCCATCTGTTCCTCCTGTCCCCACCCTCTCCATTCACTCTGCTCCCTGTATTTCACTCTTCTGCTACAGCTGGTGTGTGCTGGAGTCATGTCCATCCCAGGCAGGCACAGCAGCACTTGCTCCCCCTTACTGGCTGTGCCAGCCCACCCACCACGAATCCTCTTTCTCAGGATGTGACAGTCCAAAGGTGATGCAGCCCCTGAACTCCCAACTACAGAATTTAAGCAAATGCACAAGTCCAGGAAAATTAAAGACTCCAGAAGTCACTAGTTTCACATTCTTTATTCTCCTGTGTCAGTTAAAACAGCTATTCCCACCTGTCCCTATGGAAAGAGAAGCAAGGTTGTGTGCCCTTGCAAATGACTTCTTGGTACTAAAAATAGCAGCCCTGGCATAACTCGGGACTCCACACCACATTTAGAAGTTTCTCCCATGGGGTATGGCAGCACTCACACTCTATCCAGGAGTGGAAGATCCCTGCTCCAAGGCTGATGACTGGAGTCTGCTTGGCAAGACAAGTTCCCACCCCTCAAGGCAAACAGGTCAGCAGCCAAGGCAGCAGCTTTGTGCACTTAGTGAACATCTGTGCAAGGTGCACGTGGCCCAAGGGCACCAGGCACTAATCTGCCCCTGCACAGCCAGTTCCAAGGCACACAGCACTGAGCCCTTTGGCTGGAGCTCCATGTGCCACACAGAGTGTCTGACCCAAGATGTGGCTTATTTCAAAGGACACCTTCACTAGACCAAGGTGCTCAGAGCCCTGCCCAACTTGGCCCCAGGGATGGGGCAGCCACAGCTGCCCTGGGCAACCTGTGCTGGAGCCTCACCACCCTCACCATAAGACCTTCCTTCCTCTTCTCCCACCTAAACCCAACCTCTGTCAGTTTGTAACTGCTGCCCCCTGCCCTGTCACTACAGACCTTGGTGAAAAGCCTCTCTCCATCTATCTTACAACCCCCCTTTAGACATGGACAAGACACAACACAGTCTCACGGAGCTGTCTCTTCTCCAGCAGCTGCCCTGATGAAGGTGCAGGACCTTGCACTTGACCTTATCGACCTTCATGAAGTTCCCATGGGCCTGAGGGTCTCTCTGGATGACATCCCCCTCTCCCAGCTGCACCCTGCAGCCTGGTCTCATCCTCACACTGGCTGAGGGTCCCCTTGATCCCACTCTACACACCACTGATGAAGACATGGGATAGCACTGGTCCCAGTATGGACCCCCAAGAGACACCACTCGTGTCAGAACAGTTTTAAGGAAGACACCATTAACAGTGTTAGAGGAGCCAGACCCAGTTCAGCACCGGGGTGGGCAGAGCAGGTCAGTAAAGAGTGGAGGTGTTTGTGTGAGGGAGTGTGTGAGGAGCTGCCTGCCTGGGGGCCAGGGAGCTCCTGGCCCCACACTGGCCCAGGTGACAGCACAGCAAAGTGAGAGCAAACAGGAAGATTTTAACTGTCACCTTGTGGTAGAACCGTCAGTAAAAGCCACCTATTGTGGAACTGAGCAGCATCAAACACTAGTGCAAACATGGAATATCTGTCTGGTCTGTGCAGAGCTAGTGAGCTCCTATGGAAACGGGTTAGGAAGCCCCTATTCCCTGACAAAATCCAGGGGGAAGAATGGAGCAGGTGAAAAAAGGCTCTTAGCTGGGAGTGGAGGGAAACAATGAACATTTCACAGAGAAAAACATCTTTGGGTCCAAGGCCACGCTGGTGGGAAACAGCAGTAATAACTGGAGCTCAGAACAACAAAGACATTCCTACCACCTTTGTGAGGGCTGATTTCACAGTGCCAAGGAAGATCCTGTGCTATTTCCAGAGCCAAAGTAGTCCCACAGTCTAAGACCTATTTCCAAGGGGAGCATCCTCTTGGTATTCAGTGTAACAACCCAGATTTGAGAGCTGATGTCCAATTCAGTCAGGCTGTGTGGTGAGCATGAGAGAGACCAGGCTAGTCCCACCTCATCACCTTGGTGTAAAGATCCCTGTTACCAAAACAGAAAAACACCTGGTTACCGACAGTCCTTGGAGCAAAAATCTGGTTTGACTTCAGTTAGTGCAAAGTGAAAGAAAGATACCCACACCAGAAGATCAGTATCTTAGTATGGATGCTCCATGTCCTTGGCAGCAGAGGAAAGGGGAGAGTTCTGCTGCTTCAGGGCAGACTGAAACCCCCAGCACGTGGCTGACCAGCAGCAGGAAAGCTGGGAAAAGCATCTCCTGGAGGGGAAAGCTCTAGAGGCCAGAAACACAGGGAAAGAAGGCATTTCTCCCTCAGGCACACAGAGCTCATGGGTGCAAGACACTTACCCTTCAGGGAAAGGAGCCTGTCTGGCTCTTGTCAGACATAAGCTGTTCCCTGGATGCTTTTTCAAGACTGACGGTGTTAGATCGGCTTTTTGCTTTGAACAGGCCCCACAGCAACAGAACCCGCAGCTACCAGGATGCTGAGGAGCCCTGGAGAGGAGAATGCACAAGCAGAGACTCACTGACTGCCCTGGTCTGGGCATCAGGACTGAGCCCTGCTGCTGCTCAACACCATGAGCCAACAGCCAGAGACGAGCAGCTTCCCTTGAGGGCAAAGGACAGACAGAGAGGAAGTGAGTTAGTGCCAGATCGCATGGCATGGCCTTTCCAAGGACACAGCACAGCCAAGGCAGAGCAATAATTAATCGTGGTGTCAGGTCTCCCTCAGCCCTTCCAGCACAGCAAAAGCCACTACTTATATAGGTCTGGAATTGACTTCATCAAGATACTCAATTTACAGCCCATGGCAGGACCAAGACCACGTGCAGCACTCTGAGTCTCACATACCTGCAACAATCAAGATCCACGTGTAACCTTCACTCCTGGATGGCACAGAGACCCCAGGCTCAGGAGTAGCTGAAGCCTCTGTGAGGAAGGAGAGACAAGTCCATCAGGCTTCCAACTTACCTTACAATCAGCACTCAAAGCAACCTCCAACCCACACCTGTCTGAGTTCCCAGCTCACCTCAAGAGTGCCAAAAGGTCATTTTCAATTTATCTGCCGCTGTGATTAGCCCACATTGGAGGAAAAAAGTCCTACTGGAAACGCTAACACTGAAAGCTGGGATATTTCCCAGCTGGAGCTGCAGCATCTCGACCTGTCCTCAAGACACTGGGAGGCCACAGGTACAACCAAAACACAGCTCATCTCCCCACCTACCAAGTGAACTGGTGCAGGCACCAAACCCAAACCCAGTTCTGTCACACCTGCAGCAATGCCCCTCCTCTCCACACTCATGGTGCTGCAGCTCCCGGACACCACGGAAACCCCCGGGTAAGGGAAGCCAGAACAGCACTTCCAAGCGCAAAGGAGACCCCACGGAGCCGAGCAGCAGACACTGCCCGGACACCGGACGGCCCAGAGCTGCCTCCCTCATCCTCATCCTCTTCCCCTCAGCCTGCCCATTCCCCAGGGATCACAGGAGCTCGGGAGGCAGACAGACTCCAGTGCCGCCGGCTCGTTGGGAGGGAGCTGCTGGAGGTTGCGTGTTCTGGAAGAAGGAAGCGGGTACTACAAAGGCGCTTCCCGAGGAAGCCCCGGGGGGCGTCAGCGCCGTCCCAACCGGAGGCAGCTGAAGGTGGGGGTCTCCCGCAGCGCTTCCTCCACCCGCAGTGACCCGCAGCTGCCCCGGAGAGGCCGGAGACAGCGGGGAACAAAGGCTTCCGTCCGCTCTGCCGCCCCGCGCCCCCCGTACCTGCGCTGCCGGCGGGCGGCCCCGCCGAGCTCCAAGGCGGGGTCAGCGCGGGGCCGCCGGGACTCGGCTCCGCCGGGGTCGCGGTCCCGCAGTCCTGCTCGTCCTCCTCGTCCGAGCAGTCGGGGTGGCCGTCGCAGAGCCAGTCCCGGGGGAAGCAGCGCTCGCCGGGCGCGCACTGGAACTGGTCCGGGGGGCAGCGGGACGGGGCAGCTGCGGGGACGGTGTGAGGGGCTGAGGGGAGCGGGAGGGGAAGCCCCCGCACACGCCCCCCTCACGGCCCGGCCGGCGGAGCCCGCGCTCGCCGTGCGCGCGGGCACCGGCCAATGAGAGCGAAGGGCGTGCGCGGGGAGCCAATGGGCGCCGCCCGCCCGGCCGCTCCCCCGACTCACCGTTCTCCGGCGGGAGCGGCAGCCCCGGCGGCGGCAGCGGCAGCAGCACCGCGAGCACCAGCGCCAGCCCCGGCAGCCCCGGCCCGGCCATGCCGCGGGCCCGCACCCACGGAACGCCGCGCTGCCGCCGCTCGCGCCGCTACAGATGCAGAGCGCGTGCGCCCGGGCCCGGCCTCCACCAACCAATGGGATGCTCGGGGGGCGGGGCGCGAGGGGTGGGCGGGGCCCTGTCGCGGTGTCACGTGAGCGGGGCCGGAGGGACCCCCCCGGGCCAGGCCCGGCTCGGTCCGGGCAGCGCTCCCGGAGCAGCGCTCCCGCCTCGGCCGCCCCTGCCTGTTCCAGCGCTCCCGCCT